GTATAGTTTATACCTAAATTAGGTAAATATGGATACATTTTTGATTGAAAATAATTTAACAGAGTTAAGTTCCTCATTTACCAAAAAAAAAGTTTTTGTTTGCAAACATGTTTTTTAAGGAAAATGTTTTTTATTTTTTATTAAAATAAAATGTATTGTTATCAATGGCCGAGTGTTATTTAGTATAGAAAACCCTAATTTTTATAAAAACACTAAATTATAAAAATACATGTTTTGTTTTAATAATACAGGGTGTTTCAGACTTGTGGTGCCAAAAGCTCGGAGGAGATTCCTCTCATCAAAATATGAAAAAAAAGTTCCTATGAACAAGTGTCCGAAAATGCTTCGTTACCGAGATACAGGGTGTTTTATTTAAAAAAAAAGTTTAAATTTGATACTTTTTTGTTACAAAAATAATCATAATAATGTATAAAAAAGTGTTTTTAAGCTATAAATAAAAAACTCAATTAAAAAAAAACAAACACCCTGTATCTCGGAAACGAATCATTTTCGGACAAATGTTCATAAAAACTTTTTTTCATACTTGAGAGGAATCTCCCCTGAGCTTTTGGCACCACAAGTCTAAAATACCCTGTATATTACTTATTTTTTAAAACAAAACGATTTGTTAACAAAAAAAGATTATTTGTTTTTTATAAATAAATATATTTTTTTTAAATAAAAATTTGATTCTTATAAATAAATAACTTATTTATTACGACTAATTGGTTTGGTTTTAATAACCAAAAACAAATTATTAAGTAAATATGACCAAATGTCTTGAAGCTAATCATTTGTTTTTAATAACGTAGCCGTTTGTAAGTCAAATACTGAATAAAGCATTTGGTTATAAAAATGCAGATTTGGTAATAAAAACCATTTTTTTCTCTCAGTGTATGGATGACTTTTTGCCAAAATATCGTAAGCATCAAAACATTTTGTTTATTTAAGAATTGTTATTATTTTATGTAGGTACATAATGTTTAAAATAAATAATTTTATAAATTTGTATTTGTATTTTTATAGCTTAGGACCAAAGTATGTATAATGTACACTCTCTAAAAATGATTTAGTCAAAAATGACACACCACAGTTATTGGTGGAAATTAGTGAAAATACCGTCAAAAATTATGTGGAGCAGTTTTTGAGATATAGTCAATTCCATATTATATGGAAAATGGACTATATCTCTACTTATCTAACTTTTGACGACATTTTCGGATTCAGGGAACAGTTTCACATGGAAATTGACTTCTAAATGTTCGTCATACAAATTGCTATTGACGATAATTATTAGCGGCTGCTTTTTCGCTCTGACAATTAGTCATTTTTGACCAACCCATTTTTATAGAGTAAAGAATAATCAATTAAATTAACTAACTTTTTTTTTCAAAAGTACTCGTACTCTTTACTCGTTTTTCACGATTACTACTCGTAACCGTAACCTCTCTTTACAAATGTACTTACGAGTAAAGTACTTACGAGTAAATATTTTAAGTACTCGTACTTAAAATTTTACGGATACTTTTTTTAGTACCTACTCGTGCCCAGCTCTGGTTATGATGGAGTTATACTCGTCAAATAAATGCACAGCTCTTTCGGCCGCATCGTTAACGATTCTCAGCTGAATTACAGTTTTTAAACCGTTTTGATAATTTTCGTGCTGAGGCCACTTAGTCGGAACGATTTTCAAAAAAGCGTCATCGATATCCCATCGCTGAAAGAATCTTCTTGCTTATGGTGTTATAATATATTATTGTACAGCTTGTGTCAGAGTTTCGAAAAGCATTTCCCGACGACGAAAAAAGACTGTTGTAAACAACTTTTAAAATACCAAAAACCTAATTATCTGGGTTTTATTTTGTTTATTTTTTTGCCATTTTAACTATGTTACTTTCCTTAAAAATAAATTGTTCGAAAACAATCTAAAAATCAATTTCATTATTTACAAAATTGTAATTTTGTACTTTTTTGTACATTAGAAAATTACAAAATTACGTTTCAAAACGCACTAATTATGCATAAAATGCAAATTATCACTGATATTTTGTTTTTATGCCATTTTCAATAAAATAGCAATAATAATAATAATTGAATAAAGTAAAACAGACCTTACTATGGACATACAGGAATTCTTTTTTTCTTGTTTAAAAGTACCATATTTTCCCTTCATTTTCTCAAAAAATTAGAATTGTTCATTAATGATTTTATAAATTATTGCGTTTTAAAGCAAAAATCCCCTATATGAAAAACTGTAATAATCGAGCGAAGTGAAAAAGACCTATACAAATACATGATTTCTTTTTTTTGTTTTAAAGTAACTTATATCCTCTACATTTTCTCAAAAAATTATACTTTTTCATAGATTAATAGTAATTTTAAAAAATTAATGCATTAAAGGCAATAGTCCTCTATCTGGAAAACTTCTCGTTGTTACAGGCAATAGAAGGAAATAAGTTAGTACATTCAAATTTGGCATACATATTTTTTAAAAACAAATGAGGGGGCGCACAGTGTTGCTAGAGATAGGAGGCATGGGACAAAAGTATTTATACGAAATATTTTTGAAAAATAAAGTTGTATTCAGTTTTAAAAATAAAAACAAAGTACCATAACTTTTTATTTACATAAATAGTTTCATTTTAATGTTTAAATAAAAAGAAAACAACATAAGATTTTTTTCCAAAGAGTTAAGCTGGATTTATAGTTCTAAACGTAGCCGTAGCCGTTGCAGTTGCAGTTACAGTAGGAGCAAAACAGTCTGTGATTGGCTGGAGGATCTTTGCAGTAGCATCCAAGGTCGTTGTCGTAAGTTGTCGTAAGAGATGACCAACTTTTAGACATTTCAGACAAACTGTCAAACTCAAAAACAAGGCTCCCAAAAACCATGTTTATTAGTAAACTAAACCAAATAAACAAAATAAACGAATCACCGATACAAAATACTTGAAATGTTTGTAAATAGAACAAATGTCACTAAAGTATGTTTATAACTAAACTAAATCAAATAAACAAAGTGAAAATCACCGATACAAAATACTTGAAATGTTTGTAAATTTACAATAGTGGTGACATTTGTTCTGTTAACAGAACAAATTTTGTTCTGTTAACAGAACAAATGTCACTACGCGGCCACTACTACAACCGCTACGCGCTGAACTATAAATTGTAAAAATTAGCTACTTACTGCAACTGCAACGGCTACGGCTACGGCTACGTCTTAGAACTATAAATCTGAATTTAATTAAATTGCAATTAATAACCGCAATAATCCAACAAAATGTACCTAAATATTTTATTCGATTTAATGGTAGTAATAAATCAATGTTTATTGTTGTAAAACTTAAAAAGTACCTATTATTTAAAATAATATTTTATATGGTAAAGAAATCAAAAAAGACCTATTATTTAAAATAATATTTTATATGGTAAAGAAATCAAAAAAGACCAAATTTACTGAATACATTAATTCTTTAGTACAAATCCCAATAAGTTTTATGTAGACAAAAAAAATAATTTTAATTTTTTATAAAAATACACCTTTATTCTTTCAGTGTCGCTAATATCTTCGTCTTCACTATTTAGGATAAAAGAACTGAAATTTACAGACAAACCTGAATCATTTAGAGAATCCTCAATTAAAAAGTATTCTTTAATATCTGGCATCTAAGAGATCTTCCGAAAGTTGTCCAATGGGCAATTCAAAAAAATCAATTATTTTGCAGCCATGCACTAAAACTTTGTGAAATGAACTAGGCATATAGTACCTACCAGTCTACTCGCTGAATTTTACTTTTTCGAGACAATACTTCAAAATTTTTTTGGGTTTTTAATTAAATAAATACTTATGGTGCCATTAAGACAGGCAGCATGATCTTTTCAAGTTTTTTTGAGTGGTGGGAAGAATGTATGCCACGATTTATTAATTTGGCAGATATGACTTTATTTTTAATAAAATTTTGACTCTTCAAATAAAGCTCGCCTTGATATCTCGCAAAAAAAATACGTTCGTTGCACACCGTTGCAGATAATTTATGGGGCAAAAGAAACTACAATAAGTAGAGTACGTACCTATCCCACAAAAATCTTGCATAACATACGATCACTTTTTTTAAAAAGTTTATATAGCATATTTTTAATAGATCTTTATATTTACAAATAAATTGGCTAAAGAAATACAAACAAAACTGATCATATTAGCTTATTATTAATTTTCACCTTCTAACTACCTACATCAAAATTTTATTATTGTTTTGTCTTGAGTCGACCCTAAATACTAATAAAAGCGTTTTATTGAATTTCAAGTGTTCGTGATAATTTTTATAGGTATAAAAAGCAGATTTTTTGCCAGTTTATGAAAACCCGGTTATTTTATTATAAATTCCAATAATAAAAATTCTAATAAACGGGATTTGCATTTAGGACTTTTGGGTGCAACACTGTGGGCGGCACGATTAAAATTTCGACATCGGTCAAATAAGAACCACCCTAATGGACAACCAAACAATTGGTTAAAATTCTTCACTTAACGACCGTGTCCGCCACTGTACCTAATAATAATTTAATCCTTCTAGAAGACTTTTACCATTGTTTTTTTTAAATTCTAGAAACAATGCTAATACCTACTTATTTTTAACTGATTAAAATTATACACAGGGAATGGAATTAGTTGCGGTTAGTTGTTATGTATTAGTTGACAAACTACTGTTGAGGCCCCCCATTATCGTTAATAACAATAAGGGTACAAGAACGGACTTGAAGCGAGGAAATGGAAGATTTTGTGACACCTGTTTGTACCCTGTGTAAACGTTCGTGATGGGCAAAAGAATTGAAGATAGGGGCATCGAAGAGACCATCTTTGTCGCACCACTATGGAAAAGAGTAGTTAGTTAACGGCAGAAAGTACGGGCCTGGCGCCTAAGCGGCGCCAAGAGCCAACCTCCCTTCCCCATAGTCTAGACCGGCAACTTCCTCTAGCGGCAGGCAGTTTAACCAAAGCGCCGGTAAAAGTTTGTGTCAGTTCAGTTGCGTTCTGTATTCAGTCTGAGCGAATTCGTTGAGAGAGATAGTTAGGTTCGTTCATTACTTCGTCGTTTGTTTTTGGTTGTTGTTGGTACGCACACGCACGGTTTATTTTTATTATTCGATTAATTTACGATAAACGAAACGCGCTTTATTTAGTAGTGATTTGATCGGACGTCATCGTATTTAAAAAGTGTTGAATTTTCGAGTGCACTTGTGCAACAAGCTGTTCAATTGTCTATTTTGTGCGAGTGTTCTAGTGTAACGTAGTGGCACCCAAATGCTTACCCGCCGTGGAAGAAAAATCTTATTTAATGTTCATGTTTCGGAAAAAAAAAACCAACTTGACTAATAAATTGTTAAAAGCCCGCAAGAGGCGGGGGTACAATGAAACGCGGGGTTCGTTGGAGGAGAACATTTGCCATGAACTTCTCAAAACTCTCGAGGAAAATCAGCTGGACATGTTGCTGAAAGCGATCGAAAGTCGGGGTCAGAACATGTCAAATTGCGTGCTGATACCTCGCACTACCGCCGATCGTCCTCACGTGGTCTGTTGTCAAGAGTGGAGATGGCCGGATCTAAGCCAATACGCTGAACTCCGCAGCCTGCCTACGTGCAACTCCGCTTCTGACCCCGTCTACATATGCTGCAATCCGTACCATTGGAGTCGTCTTTGTCAACCTGGTACGTAACTACCTATTCTTCTTACCTTTAACTTACTGTACACTGCACATGGTAAGTCAGAAGGAAAGCGCCAAAAACTGTATCCAATTTGTTTTTAAGATATATCATTATTTCTCTCTAAAAAACTAGTGGTCTGGGATCCTGGAGGCCAATTAAGAACCACCGCCACCATTTCATTTAATTTATTGGTACAAGAACGCTGAAAATAAATGAAAATCGGGTACCTAATAACAAATAAGTCAAACTTACATTTTTAAAAACTGCGATCAAAAATAAAACCTGATTCAATTATTGCATATTAACAAATGAAAAACATACACAAGGTCAATATTAGGATTTTGACGTTTATTTAATATACAACTAATTAATTATTAATAAACTTCTCAATATTTACATGTCGAGCTAAATTTATTTATATAAACATAAGTATGTAATATCGTTTCTCAACTTTACAAATATGTTATAGACCAGGGCCGTACTTAAAATTGATTTTTCTAAATTTGGTGGCATGGGAAGGCAATTACCTACACAGCTACACAATATGTGCTCTCTTAAAATGAATTAGTCAAAAATAACTAAGTAATTATAAGTCATATTTGACTAATTGTCATAGCGAAAAAGCAGTCAATAATAATTAGTCAAATTCTACTGAATGAAATAGTCAAATTAGTAGATTTAAATTTAAAAAAAGTCTTGACCCAGCCGGGGATTGAACTCAAGTCTGTCACTTGTCAAGCTATTGTCATAACTCATTCGGCTGTCAGCCGCTCTTATTAAAATCAATTTTATTTGTCAATAAATATTGTTCATAATATTTTAAAGTTTAATGTATTATTTGTGTTGCTGTTTTGAGCTAAACTTTTTGCATCTTTATTAATTTTTATGGGTCATTTAACCATGGAGCTTAGGTATATGCATTTAATTCAAATAATACTTTGTTGTTGGCCGCAAACGATTACAGAAATTAGTTACTTTTTAATCTCAGAAATAGTCAAAGATGGTGACTAATCGCACGAAAGGCAAAAGATTCGACAGCCTACGCATTGAATTTCATTCACATATCGGCGCCCAATCTCCCACGCTAACCTATTACCACTGCAATAACTAAAAAAATTTACAAAATACAGTTATCTACTTTTAAAGGCAATTTAATTATTGCCATACATAAATTACTTCATTGTCATTATTTTTTCATTTCCGAATTAATAAAAACAGTTATTAATATTTAATAAATTAATGAAATAGTAAAGTAGGTACATGTACATTTAATAAAAATGACATGTTTTGCATAATACGCCAATTAAAAAATTCATTTTAATATCTCATGCATAACTTCATTGATCATATTTTCTTTATAGACGTGTTGTTTAATTAAACTTTATTGCATCAAAACAACAAACAATATAACCGTAATCTAAAAATATGCTTAAAAAGTATTTCTCAACATTCTTAATGGCCTTTCATAATTTTACTGACGACCCAGAATGTTGTTGGTTCATCTGACTTAATAATTTAAGACAAGAGAGCGGTAAGTGTGCAGTTGCACCAGAGGCACGTTGAAAAACAGATCTCAGCCATTAGCCTCCTCTCCTGAAAGAAGCTATTTCACGGCTGAAAGTCTATTTCAGCGTGGACAGCATTCCACAGCCAAGTACACCGTAAATTTTAACTTGAAAACGAAACCATGGTTTCTGCAGCAGCAAGTTTTGAATAAAAATTAACATTAACATTTTAATGTGTGGAAAGGTATCTATTTATTTGTAGGTACTTTTTTTAGGTAATTGATATTAAAAAAGGACAGAAAAATTAATTATAAAATATTTAAATTTCTTTGAGTATTTAGTTAAATTCGAAGTTACATTTTGGTACCTATGCGTTACTTAAAAGTAATGAAAGATTTTCCCAGACAAAATTTTGGTAATGATTAAGGAAAACTATTTTTTAATTTTTAGTAGGTATTTTTATTGTTAGAAGTTTACAATAGTACTACTGGTATTTTTGTTGTAAATTTACAAGATCAACTTGTAAAACGTTTGGGAAAAAAAGTAACTTCCTATAATATTTTAGATTTTTCAAAAAGCTACCAAAAAAATTCATGTAGAGTATGAATTTTTTTTTAAACAATAGCAAATTGTTCAATTTTTTAAGATTTATGTTATTTATTGACAGAATAGCTTTATTGTAGCAGATTTGAAAAAAAACAAAAAAAACGTTTTTTTCTAGGTTTTTTTCATGTTTTTTTTTCACATCTGAAAAAAACCGTTTTTTTACATCTCTAAATGTGTTTCCTGTGTACCCTTTTCCGAGATCCAACAATTTAAAATTTAATATCGTATACGAAAAAATGTATACAGTTTTTCGAAAAACTGTATACATTTTTTCGAATTAATTTATTTGTTTGTACTAAAAAATGAAAATTTAATATTTTAAAAACTAAGTACCTATTTTTAATTATCTTATAGCGAAAAAATTCTCAAACTTAAACAACTTCTAAAAAAATTTACAGTTGTGATACCTACTATTGTTTTGTAAAGAAGACTTTAGCCTAAAGTTCAGTTGTTTTTGAGCCCGTGGTTCGTCAAAAGGGACGCGACGGTATTGAAGAGCGTGGGTCCAACGTTGGCCTCAACTTCCAAGAAACTACTCTGGAATCCGGTGGGATGGTCATCTTGTACCGTCATTACGTAGCAACCATTAAAACAAACTAATCGCAATCAATTGAGAGGCATTCTTTTAAACACACACACACACACATTTTATTGCTACTATTTACCTTTACGAAATAGGTACCCAATTAACTGGTAGTTGGTATTCATTTACAAACATGATATCTACCAACGTATGCAAAAAATCTAGATACATACTCGCATCTATGATCGAGTAGCTCGTATGTGATGAACAAGTTGTGAGAACCAGTGGAGCATTGCGAGATTACCACTGTAAGATAAACACGAAGAAATTTGGAATTTATTATTTCCGTATGACAGAATGCAATAACTTAAATTACAGGAAGAATTCGCTTCTAAATTAGACACATTTTATTACACCAATTTAATCATTCAATTAATAACGCATGTCAATGACTTGCTTAGCCACACAAAGCCCTGCATCGCGACGTTGCCACATCCCCACCGAATTCACAACATTGTAAGATAATAATTATTATTCAGGTGAAATTTAATGTAGCGCATTTGGTAGGCGCCAACGCTTGATACCAAACTTGGTACCTACGTATATCTTAAGTGCTTCGAAATATTTCTCGGTAATCAGTTGTTTATTAAAGAAAATAATCGGCCAGTATTTTTAAAATTACACGTTCCAGTATCTTTAATTTATTCAAATTATAAACTGGTTAATAAAAACTTCCCACACACTGTTCATTCATAGTGCGAGAGATATGCCAACAATTTTTTTTTTCGTTTAAGAAAATAATTCTGATACGGTGAGGTAAAATAAGTAGGTATAGTGCCATTAAGATTGTGGTCGTTTAATATTTAGGATTTACTGGGCACTTAACTTATTTTTTTTATTTTTTAAGACAATAAATTTGGTGGTTTATTGCTTTCTATATACATATTTTGATCATTTTTTATAATACGAAGACCCTAGAAGCCAAGGCGTATGCGCCTTATATATAAGTACATTTTGTTTAGTTTTGGGATAATCATGTTTAAAGTAAAAAAACACTTGTAATTTGGAATCAAAATTGTTTGTTGTTTTATGACTTTGTTTTTTAAGATGTCTAAGCTTACCAAGTAAAATGTACCATTTACTATCTTTTTCTGTAAAAACCTATTTTTTTTTTTTAAATTCACTTGTATCCCTTGGCTTCTAGGGTCCTCATATAAAATAATCCCTATATAGAAAACAATTTTATCGAGTTTTATAGAAAATAGAGTTGCAAATTTCAAGAAACACCGCAGTCAATTCGGCTTTATTAAAATTAATAATTGTCAATTAAGTTTATTTTGACTGTTCTTGAAAAATAGTCTACCTACGTAGATTTTATCGAGACCAACACTTTTTTCAAATAAATATTTCGTTCGTTTTTATCTTTGTTGGTTGATACTTTTGTTAAGAATATTTAGCACAAAAATTGTGGATTTCAAAATGAAAATTCCAAAAAACTTTAAATTTTTAAAATACAACCATAACGGAGGTTTATGTAAAAACAAAAAAAGGGCGATAATTTGAAAACAAAAGCTAAAATATAACAAAACGCTTAACGCAAATATATACAAACCATATATTTTTAAATATTCAAAAATTTAAAAAAAAAACAATGTCAATGCAATTTTATTAAATTTACCGATGCCTTTTTGTTTTTGAATGTTTGTCAATAAAATACTTTTATCTACTCCACCATTAATAAGCTGTGACTTTATGACGTTTTAGTCACAGGCTAAAGTTAGCAACAGTGGCTTTTGGTCATTTTAGTTACGGGCTGAAGTTAGCTTTAATATTAATTGGGAAAAAGTGAGGTTATATCCGTTGACAGTTGACGGATGTCAAATGTTTAACAAAGAAAATTGGCTTTAAAATCTTATTTATGTTCGTCGTAGATAAAGTATAGCATGCAACTCGTTTTATAAACTTCTTTAGACACTCGTTTTTATTAAAAACTCGCTAGATGGCGCTCTAGATAGATCTATACGAATTTTTGATTTAAATCAATTTAAGATAATAATAAGTATTTGTCGTAAAAAAAGTATAGTTAGTATGCACCTCGTTTATAAACTTTTCTATACATGTATGAGTGCACTCATTATATTTAAGCACTCGCTCGTAAGCTCGCTCGTGCCTAAATTAAATTCGTGTATAAAATGGCGTTTATCAAACTTGATACATAATATACTATTTTAAACCATGCAAGCTGGATTTTAATTTTTTCGATATCTCTTCTAATAAAGATTTGTACCATTTATAAGAAAACACCCTGTACATTTTAAGTAAAACGTCCTGTATATTTCGAAATTAATTCAACAATTTATATTTTCCTG